TTCTGTCCCTTTAAAGCTATATTAACATGACGGTTGGATAAGATTTCAATAATTTTATAGGGTCCTTCCCATTGGGGGTCAAATTTAGAAACTCTAGGTTCTTTAAGAAGTAGGACCATGTCGTTAAGATGAAAAGTTCGTGGATTTTGTTTCCGATCATAATAGGTTTTACTAATGTTTTTAGCCCTTTCGAGATTAGCTGCGGCGTTAGCTTGAGTACCGGAGATTCTAGAAAACAAATCGTCGAAATAATCATTATAAGTAGTAGAGATTTCTTCTTCGGCAAACTCGGAAGGGATGCGCGCCTTTTTCCCAAAAATCAATTCATAAGGGGTATAGCCCGTCGATTCGTGAACTGCCGTATTATATGAAAACATCGCGAATTTAACCCATTCGTCCCAATCTTTAGCCTTACAATAATGCTTTAGATATTCAACAAAAACGTGGTGAGCTCTTTCCAGAGACCCTAAAGACTGAGGCCTAAAGGCAGTTGATTTTATTTGTCGGATTTTAAATACTTTACAGAATATCTTTAAAGTGTGACTAACGAAATTTGAGCCTTGATCTGTGTGAATTACTTTGGGACACCCGAACCGGCAAATGAAGTTATTAGCAAAGGCTAAAGCAATAGTGGTAGCATCAATAGTAGCGACTGGTATGGCGTCTGAATATTTGGTTAAATTATCTTGAATGGTAAGTAGATACTTGTTTCCATTTTTAGTTACAGGTAGGGGTCCAACAATATCCATCTGAACTTTGTCAAAGGATTTCCGAGGGGTGTCTGTTATCTTCATGGGTTGTCTAGTTTTAACTCTGACAAGCTTGTTTTTCTGACAGCTGTCGCAAGTACGTACAAATTGTTCAATTTGAGCTTTCATATTATTCCAAAAAAAATCTTGTCGGATGCGGTTGTATAATCTGACGACCCCAGGGTGACCTCCGACAACGGACTCGTGGTATTCGCGAATAATATTCAGTCTTTCGCGTTCGGGGGGGAAACGGATATCACCTAAACAAAATGTGAAGGTGCATCCATCATTAGGGAAGTGTTGTTTAATGTTTTTAACAAAATGACTCCATTCAGCATTACTTAATCCGTTGTTTTTTCTTTGAGGGATGCTTACTGTTTTTACTTGCAAATGTACGAGAAGATTTCTGAGTGAAAGAACAGTATTTTCGATATCTTTGGGGTTAATGCGATCATCTGAAGTTCTTTTAATAATTAAATGAAAGACAAAGTGATCGTTCCATCGCGACGCGATAGCTGTTCCAGGTTCTTCGGCGTTGTTAATTATTTCGCGGACAGAAAATTTGCTTTGATTTAAAAGGTCTCTAGAAGTTTCTGGGAGGAACGTTCCATCGACGGACGTGAAATGCACTAGGTTGTCTTTACGCATAGATATTTTATCGCGGGTGGTAGTCACATAGGAAGGGGTATTGATAAAGATGGATCGGATTAGGGTTTCGTCAAGCTTTACTCTTTTACTAGATTGAAGTTCGTCAGTATCAATGTTATTTTTGTGTTCTACATGTGTTTCATCTTTCCCAGACCCACTTTGCAAAATATACGCTTCACCGGGAACTACCTGTCCCAAAACAATCGATGGGGAGTTCAAGTTACCTCCCGCCTCCCCCCTGGCTTCAAAAAGGTTGCCCTTAAAGTTACCTCGGGATGGAGACCTTCCACTAGGGGTACAGTTTATAGACGCACGACGTCTTTTTGTTGGTAGGTTCTCAATATCGGGAACTACCTGTCCCAAATCAATCCTTGGGGAGCACAAGTTACCTCCACCCCTCCTCACTGGTCCCGGATATACAGGTCCAAGGGCCACCAGGTCTTGGAGTTTATCCCCACCCGACACCTGCAGCGTGTCGTGGGCAAAATTAACCTCCTGACCCTGCGTACGCTCAGGGTCAGCCTGAGAACCATACCGCGTATTATTGGTAACACCAGTACCGTCAAAATCTGGAAAGTTAGTCGGGGGCAGGTTGAAACACATGTTGCAACTATAATTATTATCATTTGGAGAATTTAATTGAAAAATTGAAGCTACAAGCGACTCGACATTAGTATTATCTTCATCTTTATTGACTAAATTAATGTGATGGGTTTGACTTGTGTCGGAATCTGCAATAGGTACGTCATCAGCGCAGACTGGTACCGATTCCAGACTTCTGAAAGTCTCACCCTCTTTAGTATGTTCATTTAAATTGCAAGACTTTTCTGGTGGGGGATTACGGGAAAGGGCATCAGCGTTAGAATTTATTTTACCGGGCTTGTAAATTACATCATAATCAAAATCGTTTAATTTGATACGCCAACGAATTAATTTAGAATCAGGATCTTTAAGGTTTTGCAGCCATACCAGAGGCTTATGGTCAGTGACAAGGGTGAATTTTCGCCCGAATAAATAAGGTCGAAAATGTTTTATAGCAAATAGCGCAGCCAATAGCTCCTTTTCGGTGGTGGAATAGTTTTCTTCCGTAGGGGATAATGTCCGAGAAGCGTAAGCTATAGGAAGATCGGATCCAATAGTTCCTTGACTTAAAACTGCACCAAGGGCATAATTAGAAGCATCAGTAGTTACAATGAAAGGCCGGGAGAAATCGGGATATTGCAATAGGGGTTCAGAACAAATGGTATTTCGGAGAGTTTCAAAAGCTCGTTGCTGCTTGTCGGTCCAAGAGAAAGGGGTATCCAATTTAAGAAGGTGGGTTAAAGGTTTGGCAATTTTGGCAAAGTCTTTAATGAACCGTCGATAATACCCAATGAGACCCAGGAAAGATTTTATTTTTTTTTCTAGTATTAGGAAGAGGGAATTCCTTGACTGCTCTAATCTTTTGGGGATCAGGTTTAACCCCTTCGTGTGTAATTATGTGTCCTAAATATCCTATTTCACGCCGAAGGAAGTGGCATTTTTCAGGTGATAAAGCTAAACCCGCGCTCTGTAATCTACTTAACAAAGTTTTTAATTTGAGAGAATGTTCTTCGAGAGAACTCGCGTAAATGACGATGTCATCCATGTACACAAACAGTTCAATTCCCTGAAGTCCCGAGAGGACACAGTCCATGAGACGCTGGAAAGTGGCGGGGGCATTTTTCAAACCAAACGGCATGCGATTAAATTCATAATGACCGTAGGGTGTAGAAAATCCAGTTTTGTGTTTAGAGGCACAGTCCATCTCAATTTGATGAAATCCGGAAGCAAGATCTAAAATAGTGAAATATTTTGCTCCTCCGAGCTGATCGAGAATGTCGGTGATATTTGGCAAGGGGTAAGCATCACTAATTGTTTTTTCATTAAGTCCGCGGTAATCAATAACCATCCTCCAACGAGGTGTTCCAGAAGGGCCAGCTCGTTTGGGGACTAACCATACGGGAGAATTGTAAGGGGAATCAGAATTTTGTATAATATTATCTTTTAATAATTTATCAACTTGATCTCTAAGCTCCTGCTTGTGGATCTGTGGGAATCTGTATTGTTTAGTGTTAATCGGAATTTCATCAGTAGTGTTGATTTTATGTTTTAAAACAGTAGTAGATGTAAGTTTATCCTCAGGGAGGTGGAATTGAAAAGGGTTATCAAAAATTATTTTAACGATGCTTGCTTTCTCTATTTCATTAAGCCCGCTCAGGTCTACCAATTTACAAATTTTATCCAATCTTTCAGCGTGAATAGAATCAGGATCGCGATCTGGGTCAACTGTTCGCGTTGTTCGTGGTGAAGGCGGTAAAATTTCGAATTCTTCTAATTTAATTGGAGGGATAGTAATATTGACATGATCGGTGGTGGTGTTTATAGCGAAAATCTTGACCAAGCCGTTGTGAGATTGTACTAGAGCTTCCCCTAAAAATATACCGGGTCCAATATTTATTCTTTTTATGTATCCAGTCTCTATTTTATTGTCTATTACAGGGATCGTTAGGAGCTTCTTTGTCCGAGGGGGTAAATCAAAAGAAGGTGACTCGACAAAATTGATTTTATCTTTACCAAAGCTGAGATTACCAGGAAAATTGTTTTTAAAGGTCAGGACAGCGTCTTGTTTACGTAGGAATTCCACGCCCAGTATACCTGATTGTTGGATAGGAAAGGAATCATCGACGACATGAAACTTGATCTCGACTTTGCGAATATGAGTGATGATCTCACCACGAGTGCGGATCATTCCTGAACCAATACCAGTTAAATTATAAACTTTATTCTTATTAACAATAATTCTAGGGGAAACGGCGCTTTGTTTGATAAGATTTAATTGAGCCCCAGTGTCGATAAGAAAGTCCGAAGAGTTCCCATTAAAAATTTTGTCATTAAGTGATATTACTGGTAATTTGGGTGATGAATCTAGTTCAAGTTTGTAATTGACCCTGTAGGTCCTGAACGCGCTACTGCTTTCGTGCCCCGCGTCGCGTTCTTCCGTTGGGCATCTTCCTCGTTTAAAGATTGATTTTGTTGACTTTTGTGATGGCGAGAATCAGAATTGTGACGGTTTTCGCGACGATCGTGACGCTCTCGGTCGCGCCGCGAGTCTCTATGATGGTTTCGATCACCCGTTTTTCGGCGTTGAGCATGGTGGTCAGCCCGTTGTCGCTCAAGATCGGGACAGTTTCTTTTAATATGCCCAGGTTCCCCGCAACCATAACATTTAACCGTGTTGTCAGTAATTGCATGAACTTTAGCTCTACCATAAGACTTAGCTGATTCGCGGTAAAAATTACTATTATTCCCGAACAATGTGTTTCTGCTGGCAATATTTTTCTCTAATTCGGCGGCGATGTTAATAGCATCATTTAAGTTGGTCGGTTTCGCCTGAGCAAGAAAGGCGTTAAAAATAGAGTGACGAAGTCCAGTAGTAAACCCATTAATAGCATCTTGATTCAGTAAAACATTTACACCAATAAATTCGGTTGGTTGATACCTTTCCTTGGCAGCCTCCAAAGCGCGACTGAGAATTTCGCCAACTCGTGCTCCGTAAGCTACAACATTTTCATTTTCCTGTTGCTTGAGTCTGCGTAACTCATCGCGACCACGCTCGTCGTCAAACGTCCGTGCGAAAGCGGTTCTCAACCAGCTGAGTAATGTTGCTAAATTGTCCGGATCCCCCCGATTTGCAATTAAATATTTGGCTTGACCTTTAATCTTATTTTTTATCAATGCAAGTAAAAGGGGTTTATCACCGAATTTAACTAGAGCGTCCGTGTCTTTACAAGTAGCTATAAAGTTAGAAAGGGTGCACCGTTCGTCGTTATCGCCGTGAAACTCAGGGATCTGGTGGATTGCTGTTTTCAGATCAAGATACGATTGAGTAGGAAAGGTGTTGGTACTGGAATAATCACTTGGAGGCGGAAGATTATGTTGCACAAGACTGTTAATAGGACTCGGTGGTATAACAAGTGAGTTTTCTGAAGATGTAGAAGCTCCAGAAGAGGGTGAAGTAGCAGTAATCTCTGGTGGTCTATCAACGGTTGTTATAGGGGCGTTATTAGGTAATCTGCGACTACGCGTGACTCTACGTTCGGATGTATTAAGAGGATTGCCGTTTTGCCGTGCGGCTGCAGCACGTGTGCGGGTGTTTTTGACGCGATACATGCTTATGATTGAAATCAGAGATTAAAATGAAAAATAGAATTCCTAAGAATAATAAAATTAAAAATAACTGGTCACTCTATCCTAACATACAAAAATTCTATCTTAAATAATAATGAATCTACTTAATCTTTAAGCTGCTGTCGTTGAATTTTCCTCGGTTGAGAGTTGCCCTCCTGGAGATGGGTCGTCGTAGAGTTGCCCAAGGGATGAATGATGGTTTCGGATTAAATTTGCTCTTCTAAATATTTTCTTCGTGCCCGTGATTACGAGTAATTAACGTGTGCGGACTTCGTAATCACCCACTCTTGGCATTTGCCCAGCACTCGCAGAAAACGCACAAAAACTCGTCGAGAGAGTGGTGGCTGGTGAACTTATTGTTTTATTTAGCACTTCTTGATGTTTAATTTTTTTTTTTTTTTTTTTTTTTTCACCTTGTATTGTTATTAATTTATTAACTAAAGTTCTTTTGATTTTATCGTTTATAACACTTTATTTTGCACCAGTCTAATTTAAATTTTCACTTTCACTTAATTTCCCGCTAATCAAAGTCGGCGAATCCCACCGCACTGTCATATTTTTGTTATGTCCTAACTCTAGTGGACACGCGTGAATTTATTTTATTGAGTCTAAATTACCGACGTGGTCGTAATTCGCCCGGGAATATTGAAATACTCAACTTTGAAATAGCAGGAATGAATAAATATTAATAAATGACTGGGTTTTAACGTGCAAAATAACTTCGAAGAGAATATTAGTTTAAATTGATTTAAATATATTGTTGGATAAAACTTTACACCGAATTAAATTATCTGGATATTACAATATTTAATGAAGATGTAAGATCAGTCTGAGGGCTGAGGATATTCTGATTCTTCCGAGTTTGGTCTTGAGTCCGAAGTGAAGCAGAAGCGATGGTGGGGCAGCTTCCCCTACTGCACTAGGGTCCCACAGCTGAGAATGCTGATGACGTCAATCGGCTGCTCTTCTCTCAGGTATACTTCGGCTCGAAGCGTTGGCCACGTGCTCGCTCTTTTCGACCATGCTGGATACCTGGGTACCTGAGTCTGGCAAGGGAATTTCCCGACTCCCCAATGACTGGGAACCTTTTTTAGAGACCTGGCGGCCCGACAATATTGTGTTCAAATGAGGGTCAATAATCCGCCCAGACTGTCTTTCATAAATACTTAAAATATAAAATATAGTACTTAAAATATAATTTGTAATGAGTCTAGTAAAACTTATCAGCCTACAACATTTAACAAACATTTCTAATACTAAACTTATAGCCATATATTTTACTCTAATCCTATTACCATAGTATTCTAATCTTTTTACGATACTTATTCTAATTACAATGGATGGGAAATTTCTAGAGAGTGACCAGGAGACTAAAATATTAATGGGAATTTCCTTAGCGTTCTCTAAATTATTTTATAAGTTTCTGAATTTCTCGCGCTATAAATTACCATAATTTCTTCTCGCGTGATGGCGCCTCCAGCGACCAAGTAAACCGTGATATATCATCACATTTTCGAATGAAAAAAATTTGAGTGGAGTTTCTGGCACCCGGGGGCTGGAAATAGGTAGGGGGCTAGTGACTTTACCCTAATTAATCATGAAATTTCTCTATCATTTTATTTTCAAATTAATCAATTTTATAAGATTAAAAATCTCTGTCAACTAATTCAAATTGGATCAAAATTATTTGAATAATTAAAAAATTATTTTTTTGATTTTATAATTTTCAAAATAATTGATTACTCAAATCTGCACAATTTAAATATTCAATAAAAATTTAATGCACTTAATTTTTTGTTTTTGTTTTTTTTTTTTTTTTTTTCATTAAAGATTTATGAATTTGAAAAATAAAAAAAATTTAATTAAATTTTAATTTCAAAACTCCAGCGCTTCAACACTCACAGTAAATGCAGTGCATGCAACTTTATGACAGATACTATAGTAAATTTATAAAGTTACATATACTTATTTTACATAGAGATGTTGACGCATGGATTTATTTTAAACCTGAAATATTTTTTCACGGACTTGATCTCGAATAGATTTGTATGTACATGGACTTATTTTTGCATATAATTATTGTCAAATAGACAAATTTTAAAATTTTTTCCCATACAAATATTCCCCTAGAAAAGATATTCAATAGAAATGTCTAACATGGAGTTCTTTTAGAGATATTTTCGTGGACATTTGTTATCGTGTACGGGAGAAATACATGTCGCCGACTGTACATTATGTTATTTCTCCCGTACATGAAACATGAGAACATCTCTGTTTAAGAACTCCATGTTAAATATTTCTATTGAATATTGGGAAATCATCCACTTAAATACGCTACCTGACGGATCAAATGCGAACTACTCTATGCAGGTCGAGTATAAACAGCTAATGTCATATAATATGCCGAAACTGCAGTTGAAATTCGTCGAAATTCTTTTTTAAAATATTAATTAATTAATTATAGTCTATAAACTTAGTTATTATTTAAAATAACATCAACTTTAATGATCAAAAATTTTTAATCATGTAGTTTCCTCCACGAGACAATAAAAATCAAACTTTCTGCTGCGTGTACGGGTGTAATTGCAAGTCATCTAAAAATTTTTAGAATTTCTTTTATTGAAAAAATTTCACATGTAAAAAGTTTTAAAAATTATACGTGCAATTTTGTAAAAATATTTTTTTTGTTCTAATTTAATTAATAAAAAAAATCTAAAATTTTTGAACGTCGGTTAACTTTAATGTCATTAGCAAGTCCAGTAAGAAGTTAGATTTTACACTTTTCCTCCGACCAATTCTAGTTCTGTGGTGATAAAAAATAAATTTGGTAAAGATGAAGTTATAGACCGTCGATTAGCTTGGATAAAAGCATTAAAAATCTGAAATAAAGTTACACAGTCCAAAAGAGTGTGTTCATTACATTTCACCAAAAATGACTTTATACCAATTAACATAAATATTTTTGTAATCACAAAAAAAAAAAAACAATAATTATAAGCTGTGAATTTTTGAAATACAATGTAATACGACAGATTTAAATTACTTAAATAACTAAATAAATGTTTTTTTAAAATAAAGAATTGTAATTATAGTTGCAATTTTATAACTACAGTAATAAGAATAAGTCGCATGAATAATTCTTAAATAATTAAAAATTTTTATTACTGGGCTGAGTACTTGCAAATTCATGATGCTGAAAGTAACAGATATCTGACAATTTTTTGGATTTTTTAAACAAGCAGATTTTTACAAAAAAAAAAATAATAGAAAAAATTCACATATAGAAATTTTAAAAAACTAAAAGTGAAACTTTTCTAAATTTTTTGTCCTAATTTATTTCTTTAATAAAATAAAAATTTGACAGGTTGTCTACTGATTTCAGTATCATGCAAATTCACAAATTTCTTGAATTAAAATTTTCATTATTTATTAAATTTCTATTAAAAATTCGATTTAATACAACGTGTAAATACACGATTGAATATGAGAACACGGCAGCTTATTTAAAAATGCGTTTTACAGTAGTAACTGCTTCTGCCGCAAGGAGAAGCCACGCCCCCGGCTGATTTCCCAATATTGAATATATTTCTAGGCGATACATAGGTTTGTAGGATTGTTTACATACATATGTAATATTCACGGTGTTTAACCTTTAAGCATATGTATTATGTACTATATAAATAATATAGGTTCCATAATAGAAGCATATAAACTTTAAAGTGAGCAAAAAATTTTATTTCAGATGTAATGTTTCATATACTGTTTTTAAATACTCAAGGTTTTCCCAAGACACTTAGTGAATAAAATTTTTTTTATTAACCTGAAGCAATATGTTGAGTTTAAGAATATTCAAGTGTAGTAAAACTCATAACAAGTGGTATGTTCAAAATGTTTCAAATTTATCAATAAATATAATAAAAAGAAATAAGAGTAGAATCCAAGCATGGCAAATACATGCCTATGGAAATTTAGATGAAATTAATCTATCAACTATTCGGATGCCAATTATTTCCAAACCATCAGAAGTAATTGTAAAAGTTGAAGCTTCCAGTGTTAACCCAATTGACATTTCGATGATTGGTAGGTAAACAAAAATTTAATATGAGTATGTGTGAAAAACTTTTTGTTATATATATATATATATATATATATATATATATATATATATATATATAGAGTGTGTATATGTGAGGATCTCTTTTATTGTACTTTTATTGTACTTTGATTAGGTGGCTATGGTTCTAAAGTACTAAATTTTATGAGAAAAATAATGAAAATAAATGGAGATATCGAGTTTCCATTAACCATGGGACGGGACTTTTCTGGTGTTATAACTGCAAAAGGTCATAATGTTGGAGAAAAATTGAAACTTGGTGATGAAGTTTGGGGTGTCGTACCTGTTGAACAACAAGGATGTCATGCTACTCATGTCATTGTTGACAATAATCTCGTAAAATCAAAAAATCATAATTAAAAATGGAATCTAAAATAATAAAGCAGTATTTTTTTCAGGTGAGGCCAAAACCATCAAATTTATCATACATTGAAGCTGCATCCATTTTGTATGCTGGTTTAACTGCATGGTCAGCATTATGGTTGACAGGTGGTTTATTTTATAAAACGTTAGGATCCAATAAATATAATCGAAAAGTCCTTATATTAGGTGGTTCTGGTGGAGTTGGATCTGTTGCCATACAAATGGCAAAAATGTGGAATCTAAAGGTAGATTTTTTGTATTTAATTATGAACGAAAATTAATAAAGTAATTGTTTAGTTTTGTGGTCACCCGATTTACCAGTCATTAAAATTACAAAATTGATTTATGGACAAATTTATAGTTTTTTTTTTTTTTTAATTTCATTTGTCACAAATTTCTAAACTCATTAAAAATTTATCTACTTTCATTTTTCTATTTTTTAATAAGTTTTAAGGACTAAAGAGATGTATTTTGTTCCGTTTTTCATTCGTTCCGGGGAATTTTGCGTTTCTATTTTAACAATTTTTAAATTGATCAATAATTTAGTATTCAGGATTTTGCAAGTCAATTTCATAAATTCGCCGTGATAAATCATAAAATTGAAAAAAAAAAATTGCTGATAGTTCAGTATTTTCATTTTTAATGAGTGACCAACCAAGTGACCTTGGAATTGAACAATTACAAGTAACTAAATTTATAACAAATTTTCTGAGTAATGACAATTATCAGTTAATTTAAATATTATTATATCGTTTTTACTTGAATACCTATTGGTTTTTACAAGACTTACCCATATTCTCCACATTTTTGCTATTACCACAGTAATTCAGCTTAAGTGTCTTTTTTTGTTATCATATAACTCTAATATTTTTATATCCGACTTTTTATACTGTGCCTTTTAACTAACACTTATTTTCTTTGCATACATTTCAACATATTCTTTCAATATGTATATTCTTTCCACTTTTTATCATCACTGGTGGCTATAGACCGACTTGTGCTTTCTGTACTGCATTCACTCTATTCTTCACCTCTTTCTAATAGGCTGTTGGAATAGTGACATGGGGAAACCACAGAAAAAACCCATGCCTTAACTTTTAAGAATCCATGTACCCTTATCACTACACTATTTTCATTAAAAATTATTATAATTTTTTAATTTCAACATTTAAATGTCTATTTCTGAATTCTCCAAAATATTTATCTTTCCAGGTCATTTCTACTTGTAGTTTGGACGCTGTTGATCAATTACAAAAATTAGGTGCTGACATAGTTATTAATTATAAAGATCAGAACGCCGACAAATTAGTTACAAATGAAGGAATGTAAGTTATGAATGACTTAACTTTTAGTCTTTGATCAAAAAAATTGATATAACTATAATTAATCGATGAAACATAATTATTTTTTTGCTTCTTTTAATAATTGATGACAATCGACTAACTATATTAATTTATTAGTATTTGCTTTGATTCTATATCATTCGAAATTTATCGTCAATAATTGATAGTTATAATATGTTTTGTTTATTAAGATACGACATCATCCTAGACTGTTCTAATCAGGGTATAGAGAAAATCAATTCAAAGAAATATCGTTTTAAGAGTTATATTACTTTAAATTCTCCTTTACTCAAGAACATTGATAATTACGGATTGATTGGAGGAGCTATGAATATTGTAGACTTACTCAAATATAATATTCCAAACAAAAAAGATTCAAGCTGTGTGAAATGGGGGTTTTTCATTCCATCAACGACTGGGTTGAATGCCTTACAAAAATTAGTTGAAAATGAACAGGTAGTTTTGCTTCTAATCATCTATAATAATTATGATAGGAAGTACACAACTTTCATTTTCTTTTTATTTTTTGCAGTTAAAGCCGGTTATTGAAGAAATATATACTTTTGACAAATTACCTGAAGCATATAAAAGAGTCGCAGAAGGTCACTTAAGAGGTAAAGTGGTTATTGACATGAAAGCCCAATGAAAAATTTGTTGTTAAACGAACATATAATTTAATTTATTTAATTTCACTAATAAATTTTAATTTCAATTTTTTTATTATAAATTGATTTTGTTATCTTAACATTCCTCCAGAAAACCCAACTTTTTCACGAACCTCAAGCCAGCATTGATCAGCTAATGGCAATGCTCTTAATGATCCATTTTTTAAAACACTATTTACATAGTCAGGTGCACTCATCAATCGCATATATTCTTGACGTATAGGTGTTAATTTTTCAATTATTACATCAGTGACTAGTGATTTGTATTGGACTGTATTCAATCCTTGAGCTTCTTTACAAATCACTTCCGGTGATTTCTCTAACATTCGTGAATGAATCATTACTAAATTTGAAACACCGGGTCGTGAGGAAGGCTCATAAGTGATTTCTGATGTAAAATCTGTAACCGCTTTTTTTATTGTTTTCTTAATTATTTCTGGTTCATCAATTAATCTAATAAGGCTTTTTTTTTCATTATTCGATTTTGACATTTTTTTTGAAGGATCTTTCAATGACTTAACACTTCCACTTGACTCTGAAATATCATTATTGTATTACTAAAAACATATTTTAATTTTAGTCATAGATCAAAATTAATAATGCTCGAGTAAAATATTTTACCATTTATTAATGGATTAGGCACAGGAAATGTATCTCCATACTTCCCATTAAAAAAATGAACTAAATGTTGAGCTAAATGAAGATGTTGTAATTGATCTTTCCCAACAGGTACATCTGTAGCTCTAAAAAATAGTTCAAACATTAGCTTATAACCGCGTTTTTTTTTTTTTAATTTTTCCTATAAACTAAGTTACTAACTTGTAGAGTAAAATATCTGCTGACTGCAGAACAGGATAAATATATAAACCCACTGGTATATTTTTTAATGTTTCGCTTTTCTCTTTAAATTGTGGCAAAAGAGCAAGTTTTTTCATTGTTAACATGCATCCCAAAGTCCAAGCTAGTTCTGTGTGTCTCGATACAGTTGATTGTTGAAAAATAATACTTTTCTGAGGATCAATACCACAAGCTAAAAGCGTCGCTGTCATTTCATATATGTTTTTTCTCAACTCTTCATGATCCTAAATAAATGCTTGTCATGAATTTATCAGTAACATAATTGAATTGTTAAATAAAAATAAAAACATAAAATAGTACCTGTGGCAAAGTGATTGCATGTAGTTATGGTTACTTAACAAAAAAAAAAGCTGTCTTTTTTAAATAACTGTGTAAATAAAAATAAATTCAAACAAATCTTGTTTTAAATTAATTGTCCCAAAATTTTTGAAATTTCATGCGTTGCTCTAAAATGAATCAAATAAGAATTTCATCGAAATTTCAGAAAAATCGAAAAGGGTCGGGGTCATAAGTGGTCGATTTGGCATGGAATGCCCCATAAATTATAACTGTGTTTAAAATGAATTTCACAACATCTATTACTGTTATTATTAATTAAGTATTAGTCATAATTTAATTTTTCTTCCATATAAATGTAAACAATATTAAAAATAAATAATTTTTATCAGTAAACTCAATATTTGTTTGCTCAAAAATTACTTCGAGACAGTAAAACTATGTTATTGTTTAGAAACAATCAATTAAGCAGAAATAAATTTTTATTTATTGAGAAATTTATATATTTTTGTAATACTATTGTTAGAATAATGATAAATATTGAGAGATTTTGTATAAATAATGCTTCATGATGATTGAAATAGTTAATTTGTTCCATTAAGTGGAAAAAATTGAGTTAAGAACGAAAAACTCGAGATTTTAATTTTTTCTTTCATTTTAATCGTTAATAACTATTGAAAAAATGAATTTAGGCTAAAATGTTAAAAGACCTTTTTTGTAGAGCATTAAATTTCCTTCAAAAATCTGTCATGATCTTTTTTAGATGTTTATTGATTCATTAGTAACAAAATTCCAAAGTAAAAATATTAAATCGAAAAAACACATCAATTTATTAAGCTTAATTAATTGGAAACGGCTCGTCTGACGAAAATTTTCAATGAGACAATGCATTTTCTTCATAGCACTTATGTTCAGCCATCCCCAAGTTTCTACTCCATATAAGGCCACCGACCTGGCTAGTGAGTTCATTAAATATATTCTGTCATCCCTCCTATCTCTACCAGCCCTCTTCATCACTACTTTGAGGACAGATCGGTCGCGCTGTCATGGGGATTTGGTAGCGAGTCAAAAACGCCGACGCGAGGGTGCCCACAAGGATCAGTGCTAGGACCATTATTTTGGAACGTTATGTTCGACGCTCTCCTTCAGAGACTCGAGCAGTCGGAACACGGGAATAAATTTGTTGCGTTTGCTGACGATTTGCTCGTCATGGTAGAAGGCTCCTCAAGGGATGAATTAGAGCATAAAGGTCAAATAGTAGTAGATATGATACTGGAATGGTGTGGTTCCGCAAAGCTCGAACTGTCGAAGTCGAAGACTGAAGCCATCTTCCTCAAGAATAAGCTTGTATATCGCGGTCCGCGCAAGGACAAAGAGAGCCCGTACCCCTATAAGGCAAAAGGAAAACAGAGGAAGCCCAAGTACGATAAACCGCCAAAAATTATGATAGGGGACTCTAAAATTAAATTCAAGAAAAGCGTTAGATACTTAGGGGTACACTTCGACGAGGGTCTCAAAGTGAAAAGTCACATTAAAACAAGGCGCGCGAAATTGAGTAGGGTATTCGGGCGTATGCGGCGTATTGCGCGAGCGGAATGGGGATTGCGATACCCAGCTATGTCCACTATATACAGGGGCTTCTTCATGCCTGTTGTCACATATGCGGCGGCAGCTTGGAGCGACCGTTGCGATAAAGAGGACTGGAGACATCTTCGAGCACTACAGCGTCAAGCACTTATAACAACAACTACTGCCTACAGGACAGTGTCGCTTGACGGGATTTGCGTAGTCGCGGGTGCAATACCCATTCAGCTGGTAATAGACGAACGGTGCGCTCGATACAACCTCCGTATCGGCAAACAGGCAACCCTTGGAAACGTCACCGTGCAGCCAGATGCGGAGGATCGCCTTGGAACCCTTAGAGTTGAAACCATACGTCGGTGGCAAGAACAGTGGGACACATCAGAGAACGGTCGCGAAACTAGAGTCTTTTTCCCAGACGTAGCAGAACGTCTGGCAAACAAATGGATCAGTCCAAACTTTTGGCTGACCCAAATCCTAACCGGTCACAGTTGTTTCAGAGAATATCAATTTAAGTACGAACACACGGAGAGTAGATTCTGCGACGAGTGTAGAGAAAAAGGGAAAGGAGAAAGGGTCGATAACGTGGAGCACTTAATGCTCGAATGCCTTGAGTACGAGCCTCAACGCGAGGTGCTCAAGGACATATGGGGTGGGAACGCGGAGTGGGCGAATGTTGCGCGTGCGATTGCCACATCCCAAAGTAACTTCAAGCTCTTAAAAGGTTTCAGCAAAGTAGTAGTATCTTGCAAACTCCAGACCCAATTAGCTAATGAAAGCAAAGTAACTTTAAGCTCTTAAAAGGTTTCAGCAAAGTAGTAGTATCTTGCAAACTCCAGACCCAATTAGCTAATGAAAGCGCGATTAGGGACGAAACTCAGGCATCCACCTAGGCAGTGTCGGAGCGCCTAGGCATAAGCGATATGCTCCACACAATTGTGAGGATAGTATAGAGCTTTGGATGACTGCCGTAAAATAAGATAGGGAAATATAAAAACTACACAAGTGCCCGGGTACTCCAACACACGCAAACACTTACACGTAAAATAATTTAACACACAACACACTACACATACAACATGGTCTTCTATCGACTCCGCCTCCCCGTGGTCCCCGCTGGATACTGCTCATATTCTGTGGGTATATTTCGATGTGCCCACAGGGAATGGGTTGCCAGAGGAGTCGATGAGAGTTGCAAACATTTTACAATAACACGCAACTCTTAATGCTGCCCAATGAATGTGTGCAAAACACACGAGAGCAGCGGTTTTTCCTTGTCAGCGATCTTGGCTGTGTTTTGGTTATGGTGAGGGTAGGACAAATATACGTGCGTGTATAGCTCTTTTGAGCCCAGGAAACGGCCTCTTCGGAGGTAGGCGAAAGCCTCACCATATATTCTTCAGCCCTCTTCATCACCCCCTCCCCCCAGGCCGCATTTGCAGCTTTTTGAGACTTTCCCACCATTTCCTCTACATGCCGTCTCGTGCTGTGTTTTGACGTGAATGTGTAGCCTAAATATTTGAATTGGTTGACCACTTCGATATTTTCTCCTTTAAATGTCCACTTCTCATCTTTGCTGCCTTTACCACCATTCCTAAACACCATCACCTTAGTCTTCTTCGTATTTACTTTTAGCTTATTTCTCTCTGTGAAAATCTGCAGACTTCTTAGCATCTTTTGTAGTTCTGGGGCACTTTCAACAATGATTGCAATGTCATCAGCATATTTTAGTGCTCTCACTTTTGTTTTACCAAACACAGTCCCTCCTTCTTCTTTTTTAGACCATTCTTCATCAATATCGTCCAGAAAAATATCAAACAAAATAGCACTGAGAGCACATCCTTGTCTCACACCAACATTAGTATCAAATTTCCTTGAAACTTTTCCATTCACCACCACTTCTGCACTCGTGAGCTTGTAGATTTCTTTAATCATTGCATACAGTCTTCCTCTAATTCCGACGTTCCACAGCTTCTCTAGCAGAAACTCTCTATCAACTGTGTCAAATTCGAAGTCTTATTATTATATTTATAAATGCTTTTTATTATTACTCAAAATATTGAATCGTATGAACGTTTATCATTTTTTGGGCAAATTGATTCCAAAACATGTATTTTTTTCCATAGCTATAAGTATCCTCTTTAAAGAGGGGTTACATGGCATTCACGGTTTCAAAAAATCGATTTTTTTTTATTGTCTTATTAAATTCTACAACATCTCTAGAATATTGTCCTAAAGTTTCAAATCGATCCGAATTACAGTTTCGGAGATACAATTTTAAAAATTTGCGTGCTCAAGGCGCTGCTGTATTGTCATTCAAAACTTTGAACGCGTTTTTCATTGTCAAAACTATGTTTTCAAAGACGGTTGTCAAGATTTCTCGAGAACTACTCAACCGATCTTGATGAAACTTTAGACAGGTCTTCGAGATATAATTTACAAGGTCTGGGAAGAAGGATTTTTTCTTTTTACATGCTTTTTATTGGTTTCACCTGTATGTTTGTTTGTTTGTTTGTTTGTATGTATGTTTGTAACCGACTGCTTTGGGCGCGATTTTGACCCACTTTAAACGGCCAGATTTCGTTCAAATTTTGTAGATATATCGAGGACCGATGACAATACACCAATTTGATAAGATTATTCCATTTTTCAATTTACAAAATAAGATTTTTGTTAATTTATATAATTTCCATCTATAGTCGAATAGACAGGAATTAATGTTAATTTAAATTTTCAACCATGATCTTAAGCCGATTTCTCTAATATTAATAATAAATTTTGAATACCAAAGAGAATTTTAATTTAACAAAACAAAAAATAGTTCAAAAAAACTAAAAAAACACGCTTTTATAAATAAACCGAACTAAAAAGTAAAAAATAAATAATAGTTTAAAAAAACTAAAAAAAACGCTTTCTATAGAAAATCAAACTAAAAAATAGAAAATAAATTTTAATGAATTTGAATTGAGAATAGTGTAAAAAACTAGAATAAATATAAATTAATAATAGCACGAATCAAAAAAATTTATTTTATTCTAAAAAAAGCGTGGGGTGCTTTTTAAGGTATTGTCGAAATAATAATCCTTCTACTCATATATGTCAATAAAATATTTATAACTATTGACACCATGCACCCTACGCTTTTTTTTGAAATAAAATAAATTTTTTTCGTATTTGCGTTATTATCAATTCATATTTATTAAAATTTATTACATTATTCTTAATTCAAATTTGTTAAGATTTATTTCTATTTTTTAGTTGGATTTTCTATAAAAAGCGTGTTTTTTAGTTTTTTTGAACTATTATTTTTCAAATACAACTATTAAAAAAAAAAAAATGCCGCTAAATTTTAGCCAAATTTTCCATTTTTTTTGTAAAAACTTCTGCCAAAAATCCAATTTTCATTTTTTTTTTCTTCGTCCAAGTCCTAGTTTGAAGTCTTAACTAAAGCACATATTTTTTTTTTCACTTCAAATGATCCTGCTAGAAGTTCTGCTGTCAACGCGGACGCATCTTTTTTCCGAGGGTTCGCCGGAAATGATGTCACAATGGCAGAGTTATAACAATTTTTTTTTCTAATTTCAGTAATCCCTGATTAAACATGTATCTTTAAGACAGTAAAAAGTTTGAATGAAATATTTCATTTTTTATACTAAAAACAAATTGTTGAAAATAGGCCATTTTTTCTCGGAGGAAACCCATGTAACCCCTTAAAACAAACTGAAGAACACTTTTGTAACTATAATGGTTCTCGAGATATTTAAAAAATAAATTTGAGAAATCGGAAAAATAATGCTACTTTGAATTTATTTATACAGTAGTCACAAAAATTAAGGGATATAAAAAAAATTCTAAATTTTTTGGTAATTTTCAACGAGCTGTAACTTCGAGGAAAATGATTGTACAGCAAAAAAAAAAAGCAAATTGTAGCTCCAAGTGTCTAGTTTTAAGATATGACCATGAAATTTTGATGTGAAACATCTATAGGCTCACTAGTAAACCGAATTGTTGGCGTGGCGACGCTTGCTGACGACGCTATACTGAGGTATATATATACTAGCTGTTACCCGCCCGCTTCGCTGGGCGCTTTAAAAAATTGCATTTTTAGATCTAGACTTGAAATTTAATTATTGTTTTGATTTGCTTAGATTTTAATTGAGTATTAAAAGTTTAGTTAAAGTCATTGCAAGTCTCAAAAGTAAAGTTGAAATCTGTATAGCTTCAATTGCGAAGAATTTTTTTGTTATTTCAAGTTTTCTCAGTGACATCAATATTTTATAGAAAATAAATTTAACAT